AAATAATAAATGAAATGAAATAATGAAGACAATGAAATGATAATGAAATAGAATAATCTAATATTGAACAAATCAAATAAAGAATATATTGAATATATCATTAATTTTACTTTATTATTTATTATTTCAATTATTAAATAATAAATTAATATTCAAGAATATTTAATTGATATTTTACAATTTCATTTTCATTTTATTTAATAAATGAAATAAAAAAAATAAATGAATGATTGAATAATGATTGAATATATGAAATAATAAAAAGAAAAGAAAGATAAATAATAAAGAAATATGATGTATTTAATATATAATATAATTTATTATCAAATATAATAATAATATCAAATGATGATTTATTTTTATTTCAAAATATTTTGCATCAATAAAATATGTTGCTAAATATTTTGCATCATTAATTTTTGCATCATTAAATTTTGCACTTTTTTTATTTGTTTCAATAAAATTTGCACCCTTTATTTTTTTCTTTCTTTTCTTCTTTTATCATCTCTTTTGTTTTATTACACTTTATCTTCTTTCGTTTTATATTCTCTCCTTTTCTACTTTTATTCTTTCTTCATCTTCTTCTACTTTTTACTTTCTTTTTATTCTTTTATATCCTTCTCTTCTTTTTTTTATTATTTGCTTTTTTCGTTGCTAATCAAAAAATGATAATAATAATTATTTTATGTTTGTTTATAATTTCTTTGTTTGTTATAATATTATTTCTCAATTACTTTATTTTTATTAAAGTGTTTAATGAAATTTATATTGAAGTGATTTAATATTATATTTAATAAAATCAAGAATAAAATAATTATTATGATAATAGTGTTGATATAATAATTTGATGATATTTTATATATTTTTGTTGTTAAGAAAAATATTCTCATTATTTCATTATTTTTTATTAATTTCTTGATTAAAGTAATGAAATTATTCTTTTATTACTATTTGTCCTATTTATAATCTCTATTAACATCACATTTATAATTAATTCTATTTATATATAAATTAGATTATATTTATTATCTTTCTATTTTTATAACATTAATCTAGTTTATTTTTTCAATATTTATTAATGAAGATATTATTATAAATTAGATATGTAAATAATATTTTGATTTGTTATATCAAATATTTAATTGTTCAAAATTATATTGTATTAATAAATTCTAAAGTTAAAATAAAAGATTAAATGACTTCAATTAGAAGAAGATTGTAATGATAAGAGCAATACCAATAAACATAATTGATGTACTATCACCTAAATTGTTGTTAGGTTTTTCATCATTGTTAGAATTATTATCTGTAATCATTGGACAAATAGTTTCAACATTATTATCACATTTATTACATGTATGTTTAGTTGTTTGATCAACAACTCCATCTTTACTATTTAGACAATCTGAATTACTTTTGAATGTGTATTTTGTAACAACACCTTTTTCAATAACATATTTGAATGTGTCAGCACATGTATCTAATTTAATGTTTGTAGAAATGACTGCATCAGAAACTTTCTTAATAGTACATTGTATATCCGATTCAATAAGAGTAACAGTAGCATTTTGAACTGGAACAGTTGTAAGAATAGAAGTAAGAATTTTAACTACAGAGCCAGCACTTTTACATTCAACATCATTGAAATTTTCAATAACATATTTATTTTCTGATGTCTTGACTACTTTTTTAGAAGAAGTTTCACCAGTCTTATGACAAGATCCAACAACGTAAGTCTTATATTCAATATCAGATGTTTTAGTATAAATTGTTTCAGTTGATTCAATTGGATTGAAAGTAAGTAGATATGTCTCACTACCAATAGTAAAATGTTTATCTGAAGTACTAGATAATTTAAGTTGTTTAAAATTATCACATGTATTTTCATTATATTCAAATTGTTGGAACAATGAACCAGCAATTAGATATTTCATATTTGATTCACACGTATCAAAGAAATAAGCTTTACCATTATTCTCTTCACATTTATTTGTATTACATAAAGCACCTGTAGCAATATTACCATTAGTATTAAGAACAGTAACAGAATCTTGTTTTTCGTCTTTAGTACATATAATTATTGAACTAGTACCTTTAGTACATGTATAAATTTTACCTGTATCAGGGGATGTCATTTCAACAATTTTTGCACCATCAGTTATTGTATATTGTGTGTTCACAGATTGTACTTTCTTAAATGAAGCTGTTGTACTAGTAGTATATGTCTTGTCTGTGATGTCAACTTTATTTTGAATAATACATGTCATTCCATTAAATTTATCAGTAATAATATCCTCAAGCTCACTATATTCATTGTCATTGGTACATTTATGTTGTGCAACACCAAATTGAGTATTGACAAAAATCTTGTTATTAACACAAACGTTAGCTGCAACATATTGTGTATATGTGATTTTATCAGAGTCTTTACTCTCTTCAACAGGGATGGTAATAACAATATTTGACGGTTTTTTAGTTGGCACAACAGTAATATCTGATACTTCATTTCCAGTACAATCATTATTGTTATAATACTTAATATGGTAAGTAATAGTAACAGGTTCTTCTCCTTTAATACTTTTTTTCCAATTATTTCTGAAATTCTTTCTATATGTAGATTCACTCTTACCATCGGTAGATCCACTCTTACCATCGGTAGATCCACTCTTAGTCTCACTTCCTCCATTCTTAGTCTCATCTTCTCCATTCTTTGGTTCAATTCCTCCATCAGTACTCGGTTTAACAGATTGGGTATAAACTTTCATATATTTATTACCATATTTAATACATTTAGCTGAGTTTTGGTTATCAGCAATATTTGAAACTTCTAAGAAATTTTGACACTTGGAAGCTTCAGTAACTTCATTATCCATGCAAAGAATTGTATGTGTATTTGATGTACTCTCTGAAAATACAAATGAAATAAGCAATAAGAAACAAATCATTGAATGAGAAAATAAGTTATCACAACGGTTTAAATAGCATTACCAAACACACTCTACATTTTCACAAATTGACTTTCTTTGTAAGTAGAGTGAGGTTGTGTGTCAAGTCATAAGTTTGTTTGATTTAATAAATAACTGAATTATGATGTTAATAGTAAAAAGATTTGTTAAAAAAAACTATATTATTTATAGTAAATTACTATAATTATATTATAAGTACTATTTTTATCATATTTTTTGTTTTGATAATTAGACTTATAATATTTGTTATTCATTTTGTTTTGGTTATTGTTTTTTAAGTTAGTATAAGAAGAATTAAACTCTATATCACAGGATTATCATGAAAACCATACAAAACAATTTCACAGAGAGAAACAAATTTAAAAGACGTAACTATGGACATAACCATTATAACCAATATCAATAAAATAATACTATAACCACTTTATTAACAATTATTATCATTTTATTAACAATAGAAACAATTACTTTATGCTAACTACCATAACTCAGTTAGACGTTTACTTAATATCAATATTAGAAGAAAAGTGAATGAATAAAATAAGAATATTGAAATACACAGAATAAAGTAGTTAGATAAATAAAAAATAAAAGAAATACAGAATAACACAATGATGAAATAATAAGATAATAATGAATCATTAATTGAAGATAATGAAATAAATAATGAAAATGAATAAAATAAAAACATATAATGAAGAAATAGAGAATAAAACAAGAGAATAAAATGAAATTAACATTAAATAAAAATGAAAATGGTAAAATCACAAGAAGAATATAAAATAAAGAAATATTCAATATATTGAAACATGAAAATAGACTAAAATAAAAGTAATTGCAAAAGTAATAACAATAAATAAATTATTCAACAACAAATTAGTAAGAATAATAAAAGAATAATGTATTGTAATTGCAAGTGAAATAGTTGTAAAAAATATAATGAATAATAACATAAAAGATATAATGAAATAATATGGAGATAAAGGAAGAGAATATAAAAACATAGAAGTACTTCATGAACAAGAATCTGAAGAGATTGAATGAAATAATCTAACTATGTCAAAGAGAATATAAAAATCAAGAAAGAAATTGTGATAGAAATCAATCATTCAATTTAATTTCTTTTTTTTAAATGAAGTATCTTAATAAGCACATATTCTAAATATAATTCTATTAGATAATAAATTATAATACATATGTTTACAGAATAAATCAATTTTTAATTCTATAAAAATAATTATCAATTAAAATAGTAATATTTCAAGAGAGGAAATTGATAATGTTGAATTTAATATATTAAGATTCAAAATAAATAAGAATCTTGCACTGAAAATACATATTATTCATATTATATAAAATTCATTAAATAAACGTGAATTTCATTTGTAAATGAGAATAGTATGAATGGTATTAATATTTTGAAATAAAAGAATGTAACATTAATAGTATTATATCATGTCCATACAAATAATAAACAAAACAATAAATAAAAAAAAAGATAAAAATATTGTATTTTTTAATAATGAATTATCATTTAATTTTCTCTGTAAATAATGAAATGTTTAATAAAGAAAATAACCAATTCAAAAACATAAATGTATTGAATTAAATAAGTAAAGATGATAACTGAAAATATTATTTTATATAAGGAAATAATTAACTAAAACTCTTCAAATGAAATATGAAAAGAATATTATCAAAGATATTTTAATAACTTCATCTATTTCTTTTTTAATGATAATTCATTATTATCAAAATATTTTTAATAAATGTGTCATATCAATTTAATTAAATATTAGATAAAGAAATATAATGATGTATTATAACGGTTATGCAAATCATTTAAATATGAATATTAAAAACAAGTTAATGTGTTAATATTTCTTGTGTTAATTTGTTTGGAATAAGAGTTAATCTCATTCAAAATTAATATTAAATCAATTAACTATATTATGAATTACTTCTATTATTCATTCTTCTAAATTAAATAAAGAATTAGATTAAATTTTAAGTTATTTTAAATAAGTGCTAATGAAATGAAATTGTTAAAGATATTTATTGAATTAGTAAATTATGAAGAGTAATATAAGAACGTAGAATTAAAATGATGAATATTTAGTTCATTCATTGGTTATAATAACACATAACTTAATATAACTGTATATTAAATCATTCATTATAACTAAAAAAAATTAACCACTATTCTAGTAAATGATACAATAATAATCATTGAAATAATTAATATGTTTCACACTTACATATGATTTATAATATATTACATTAAATTGATGTTTGTAATATTCCGTTATTATTTACTTAGTTCATATATTATAATGTTTCTTAATACATGAATAGTCTCAAATTTAATGAAAATAAAATGTGATAAATGTGTAGATTTAAATACTGACTAATAACTAGTATACTATTAGTAAATCAAATATAACCAATTCATTATGAAAGATAACTATTATTTATTTTTTAATATGATATTAAACCACTCATACAATGGATATTATTTTTAATGTTTTGAATGTATGTTATAAAAATATTAATGTTAAAGGTTAATGAAACGATAAATGGAATATAACACCAAAAACGAATATTCATAGTATCAATTAACATGTATAAATGTGAGGATATTAGACAGTGTAATAATAACACAAATTCAATCAACATTGTAAATAATGAACAAAAATTAATCAATTACCTCAAAACTCTTTTGGGAATAGTTGTGTTAGAACAAGTTATTAACACACAGAAAAAGTCATGGTTTTATTGAGTAAAATATATTGGAAAAGTTGCAAGACTTGTTATTTATTGGCATTTGATGAAATAGTTCCATACTATAGAAAATATTGCATTCCTTCCAGAGTTGAGAAACGAAAAAGAAGAATAACAGATAATTGAACATTTATTCAAAACATTTGGTAGTTTGTGTGTTTTTGAAGTTGAATCAACTGAAGATGAGACTCATCATCTATTAAGAAAATGGTATATTCAAAATGGTTTTTGGTTACAGACAAAAATTATAGACAACAATCATACTCATTAAAGGAACATTCAATCCCTTTATGAACTATGGCAACACACAGCTTTTCAAACAGGTTCTGTTAACCTTTATTTTTGTACTCAAACATAGGTATATGAGTCTTATTATTGTTTGAATAATTTCTAGTTTTATTTTGTTTATATTAATTTTTAAGTGATTTCTTAATGGAAGTATTCAATTGTTTTATAAAAGCTAATAAATGGTTGAACTCTTATGAAAAGACGTCTACAAAGCAGAGAGTTCTAATGCATGTTGTTTAGCAGATTCTTTCATATTTTTTCTCATTTCCTTTTCAAGCTTTTTTTGTCGTGCTTTTGCTTTGTTACACAATATATCAGTAAAGCAATCAACAAATCTACATGTCATTGTACAAACCATACAAACACTTACAACAACTAACACAGAAAAGATGATGAAAATAAGCAATGATTTTGTAGGCATTAATAAATCAAGAAATGAATCAAATGTAAATGTCCCACGTTTTAATGTCCCTATCATACATTCTTTAGTTTCTATATTACAGTCATACTGACATTTCTTACAAATACATTCTTCTTTTGATTGAATTATGGAATATTCTGCTTTTAATGTTATTGGTGATTCTATGTATATTTCATGAGTTGTTTTATATACTTTAATCTCTTCATATAACCGTTCTGTATGGAAAATTTGTATTGTTTCATTATCTTGTAATTGAATAGGATATAAGTGCTTTCCTTTATTAATGACAAATTGATGTATTTCCATTGCATTGCAAACAATAAATAAAAGACTAACACTAATAAACCAAGTCATTATACTTGTTATTCAGATGATTCTTAAAACAAAACTCGTGTCAAATTCTCTTTACTATTTCATAGTATTTATTTCTTCTATTAAACTATACTTCAATAAAACAAAAATTGAACATTAAATAATTTTTTGTTGTTTAAATTAGAATGAAAAAAAAATTTTAAACGTTTTATTTATATGATATGTTTGGTAGTTATAATTTTCTTGCTATCATTTACTATTGAATTCCTTCTTATTAAATTACCAATCATTTTATTTCATTTAGCATAAGTATGTTAATTATTCTTTCTTATTTCTTTTTATCTTATTTCTGAATAATTATCATATAAATCTTTGAACCAAGACTTAAATTTATTCTCTCTTGAAACTCTTCTTATACCCTTAGAATCTGATCTTTCATTTAGTATAAATTTTCTTAAGATTTTAATGTTGAAGTATTTACTAAGTACTTTAATAACATTTTATCATAAAAAAGATTCTTTCCAAATGGTTATTGTTTTCTTCCATTCTTCATTTTGATTCTTACCTATTTTCTTATTTTAGATAGAACCTCAAAAGTCTTATTTACTCTGTAAGTTTTGCCATATATTTAGACATTCTTTTCATTTGTTTTAGTATATACCAAACTAGCTTTCTCTTTATTATGTTTTGTTTCACCAAGAATATTTTAATACAAAGTTTTAATAAACCACTTCTGTTCAATGAACATGATTAAAACAAAAACACTTTTAACTTAATAGAATCTTAAAAAGTAGTTGTACAGTCATAAAACGTATTGCCAACACCTTATCCTTTTAATTAATCATTTTACATTTATTTGAATCTCATTTGATTATCTCAATATCAGTACTTATTTCTTCTATAATTTTTACTAACTGTTTTAAGTATAATATAAACAAAATGAAGATGAAAATCTTATTTAGATAATACCAAACATATTTAACCAGACAACTATTTAAAACAAACAATCAAATTAAAGAGCAGAATCCATTCTAGATGCAATAGTACGAAGATTATTGTATACTTTTCCTGGTGGAGCTCCAAGAATAAGGTCTTGGATTGCGTCACGAGCAATCTTGATATTGGCATAACTTCCCATAATATGAATCTTTCTACAATTAATAAATACCAATATTAATAATGACAATAAAATATTCTTTAAAATGAACTATAAAACAAACTTATATTGCATTACAATACGAGTATGTGTAGTGTTTTCAATTGAAAATTTAGTTTTACCATCTTTACCAGCAATACGTCCAATAGCACGATTTAAATGGTCTCCATGTAATTTTTTAACATCTTCAATTTCAAATGAATCAACAAATATATCATCCATTCTAAGTAAAGCAATGGCATCTTTAACTTCAAACCCCTTTCCAATGGCGTTAATAAAATCAGATGCTTTTTGAAGAGAATCTAATTGACTTTTATCATTTGTTTTTAGTTGAATAAGTTTCTTTGATGGATTCATTCGAATATTCAATTTTAATTGTGAAACAATCGGTTGATATATTCCTATCCAATTTTCTTTAACATAATTAAATCGTTGTCCTGGAACATGAATTTCTCTAAGTTCTTCTTCATTATGAATTTGTTGTTGTTTAATTTCTTGGAATTCTGGTTTAGCTGCCATCTTTTGAATGGTGAAAGTTTTAGGTTTTTTTTTGAAGGGTTTTTTATAACAAAAATTTTATTTCTTTTTTTTGATATTCCTTTTCTTTTATTATCTTCATTGCTGTGTTTTATTTCATCTTCTTGTTTGTGTTGACTATACCCTTATCAAACACACTAATTTCTTCAGAACTTCTTTCTTTGAATAAAAATTATAGATTAATAGTGTTTAACCACCACACCAACAATTATCATTTGAGAAATTAGAAAAAATGATTGGTTTAATGTATAAACCCTATAACAAAGTACTTTGTATTTCATTCTAATTTCTTATGGCTGATACTCTTGACAAGTACCTCTCACACATACAAACCCTTGAAGAGAGACTTGCTGTTGTACGACAATACATTTATCTTTTTGAATCACCTGAACAAAACAAAATAGAAAAAACACCAAAACAACCAGAAGACTCAATCCCAACATCAGACTATCCAGATGAATTAAATGACAATCTTGAAGAAGTACTAACTGCATTACTTCCAACTGTTGACCAACCTACAACAAAGCCATATATACCTGAACATTTATTATTACTTCTTTCTACTTCTGAAGCATGTCAAGTTCCTTTAATTCAACAAAAATGGCATGAAAAATTAATTCCTCTCTTAGATTCTCCATCATCTGAGTTAATAGAGTCTGTGTCATATCTTCTTCTTCATGGATTAATGTGTCCATTATTAGCACCTCGTATATCAAAGAAACTTTGTTCTTTACTTACATCAACTCCATCAGAAACAATGAGCCAAATGGTTCCAAGTAAAAGACTATCATTATTATCTTCTGTAGGAACATTGGCTCATCGTAATTTACTTGAAAAGAATGGGGTTGATTGTAATCAAGTTTTAGAAAGTCTTCTTAATGAACCAATTCAAAATGATGTACCATCATTACATGCAACAATACGGTGTATTGCTGGATTAATTAAATCAGTGAATAATGTTGAAACAATAAAGAAAGTATGTCATCTTGCTATAGAAAAATTAAACAAAGAATGTGATATTAGAACTGAAGTTCATCTACATGCTATTATTGCTAATTGTGCTCATTACGAAGAAATTGCAAAAGAATTACTTACCACAAATATTTATTTTGGAATTATTCAAAATTATATTAAGAATAAACCTTCAAAATATGGTAGTGTAGATGTTCGATATTTTGCTATTCAAACACTTATTTCATGTCTAAGTGTTGTCAAAGAACTTCATGAAGAAAGTGTTATTATGTGTGACTCAGTTCTTCTAGCTCTACCAACACAACCATTATTGGCTCATCTTGGAGCAGATAATGCAGGAGGACAACACCCACAAATGTTAGGTGTTCTTGGATTAAAGGCTATGGCATTAATATTGATTCGATTAATAACATCAAACACACAGTCTAATCTTGTTTATCAACACATCAAGAGATTGTCTGTTCAAAATGTGATTGCTACTATTGGTAGATGTACAATTATTGATATTGAAGAAGATGATGAACCACCAAAAGTTAAAAGTGAAATTAAAAATGATAGAGACACAGCATTGTATTGGGGACTTGTTGTATTACAAAAGATGTTTTCATATGAAGTGATAATGAAAAAGAAAGGTATTGAAGAATCAATGAACCAATGTGAGTCTGGACTTTCTTATCTTGTTAAAGCAGTAAAAGCATATTGTGACAAAACACCTGATATTGCATCAATTTTTGTAGATGTAATTAAGAATGTTAAATTTGATATTCTTAAAGCAGAAGATAATAAAAGTCATTTTGTTCATCGTTTTGTACAATTGATGAGAGACTACATTGACTCTTGTTATGAACATACAGCTGCAAAAGCATTGTTTGGATTATGCGAATTGCATTTAATTAATATAAATGAAATAGATACACTTGGAAATATAGTTATTGAATTTATGAAAAGAATGAATGAATTGACACCAGAAAATGTTGAGTCATTATACTCTCTTATTCATATCATTTCTGAAGTTGACTCTTCAAATGAACTTGTTCATTCTATTGTTTCACTTGCAAATGAACAAGTGATTCCATGGATCATTTCTCATCAAGAAATATTGATTCAAGACGAAAGTAATTTGGAAAAATATGATTTTCTTATTCTTGTTCTTCTTGTCTTATTCTGCAAAGTACCTAAAACACCTTCAATTGAGAAATCAGTAAAAGAAATTTTAAATGTTTATGGAAATGATGCAGGTGAAATTACTGACTATTGCAACAAATTATTAAATTAATAGTTTTTTTTAAATTCAGGTTGAATCAATATTCATTCTAATAAGTGTATTTTTTAATTAAAAATTGTTAGAGTTTAGGTGTATTAGTCTAACTATGGTTGAAAATATTAACATAACTTTTATATCCTAGTTTGAAGTGTCTTTTTTTATTTATAATAAACATTAGATACAAAGATATCAAATTAAAGTTTATTGTCTTAAGTTATGTTCTTGAAATAATTTAATTAATAAAGATAGATTTGACTGTATTTACTTTTTAATTGATATTTTTATTAATTCATTTACAGTATATTTCTTTTTCATAACTTTTATATAATATATATTAGTGTTATATTTAAAAAAAAACATAAATAAATGAACGCTAATCTTATTCAATTCTTTTAATTTCTTTTTCATATACTATTCCTTTATTATGTTGTTAAAATAACCTTCTTTAATCAATTGACTGTATTTATATAAATTATTATTGACATTATTGACATTTTATTTGTTGAAATTTTAGTTATATTGTAATTCTTATTATAATGAAATTCAAAAATACTGCTTTATGAAAAAAATATTAATAAATTTTATAGTATTAATGAAAATTAAAGCATATCCTTTGTTTTTTAAAAAAAAATAAAAATCAATTTCAACAACCTGAAAGATAAAAAAAACAAGGAGATTTCAGTTTGAATGAATTTGGATTAAAGATTCCAAGAATCATCATTAGTTTCGTCAAGTGAAAAATGAGTTAATTCGGTTGCATGACAACTACATAACAAACATTCATTAGCTAATACGTTAATGTCATTATCTTTTTCATACTCAGTAAGAACTTTTACAGCAAATGAAGTTTTGTGTAAGTTTAATTCATTGATAATACAGTCACGATGATATTTATGACCACAACAAAACATAATAAGTTGAGAATCTATCTCATTTAATTTTTTTCTACACATACTACATACATCCTCATCAGAATAAACAACATATTGGAATGATGGTTCAGCAAATGACAATTCTTTCTGAGCAAGTTTCTGAGACATTTCAGCAACTTGTGAATTTGAAAGAAAAACCATACTTAATAAATCATCTCCTTTTGTTTTATATTCTTTAAATTTAGCATCAATCATTTCCATCATATCTTTTAATTTCCATTGTCTAAAACTTGGAAGAATTAATGGTAAAGATGCTAATACTGATTGAATCGATATTTTATGATTTTTAATAACATCTAAAACATATTTTTCTCCAACACCAGTATCACATGCATCAACAAACCATTTTAATGCTTGAACAACTAAAGTTTCTCTATTTTGTTCATTTGGTTCTTTTCCTACTAATTCAAACATTTTATCAATTTCATCTTGAAGTTGAGATAATTGTTTATCACTTTGTTTAATCATTAATCCTTTCATTTCAATTGCTTCTGCATAATTTCCATTATTTTCATAAATACATGACAATGAACGATACATTCTTCTTCTTTTTAATTCTCTAATAATATAAATACTTGTAACAGGAACATTAATTCTTGAAAATAATAAACTATTCATATTTTTATCTAATTCAGCAGATGTTCCTGGCTCTTCTTTAAGGTATTTCCAAAACAAAATTTCTAATAATTCACTGACATCCATTCCATCATGCGTTCTTTGATTAATTAAGTTTCTAATAAATGGTTGAAGAATACTAAATTCAATTTCTTCTCCAACTAAACTTAAAACAGTATATAAAGATTCTTCACCAAAAATATCTCTTGTTTTTAAATATTCATTAAATAATAATGGTTCTTCCCTAAATAATACTCCAAAATATTTTTTAGTTAATTGAATACATTCTTCTCGTTCTTCAGCTTCTTCAGATGAATACATTTTAATTAATACTTCAATACCTTCTGAATATTCACAATTCTCTATATAATAATTAAGTAATCCAACCATATCATTATTCGTTTCACAATACCAAATAAATAATTCTCTATCACCACAATTTCTTATTAAATAACGAATAATTTCTTTATCGATAATTGTTTTAGCATAAAATCGTTTTTTAATGAGATAAGTTAATTTTTTCTTTAATAACTCTCTTTGATCTTGAATTCTGACATTATTTAATATTAATATCACACACCATGTATATAATAATGAAACTCGTAATCGAGATTTGATATTTGTTGAATCATTAATAACTTTATCTAATGCTCTTAATAATACAAATATTAACGTTTCATCATTCATCATATTTTGAATAAGTTGAACATCAAAAAATTCTTCGTAATCCGGTTTAACAGCATGTATCTTATATAATGAATATTCAGTACATACCCAAATATACCTTTCAACTGGATTATTCTTTTCTAATGTCATACAAATTGCCTTTCCTTCAATTAATTTAGTACAACTCGTATTATAATCATAATCAAAGCAAACTAATGAGTCTGGATATAATTGATAAACTTGATTAGGTGTTTCAATAACAAAATCTGAATCAACATAATCATTTGAAACTCCTCTTTCATTAAATTTATCCACATCTTTATCATTACTAAAAAATGCATAACGTCCACGGAATAATGACCTTCTAGTTCTTCCATCTTTTAATTTGTATTGTCCAGTTAAATAACTTACTCGATAATTCATTGCATCTTCTGTCATTCCTTCATACTGAACAATCATCATCCCTTTACTTCCTTCAACAATTTCATAAGGTGGTTTATTTGATACTTCACTTATATAAACAAATTTATTAG